GGGTTAAAGAGATCGATCGAGCTGAACTCAGTGGGAATATACACCAATATAAACATCTGTTAGCTTCTGTTGGTAGTTTAAAGCCAATGTGAAGCATCAGGAATGAGGATTTGCGCCTTTAAGTCTGAGGCCATGGTTGTCAGTTGGTAAAGGGCAGCGTGCCCAGTCCCACTTGAGTATGAGTAGGAATGGGCATGAGTGAGTGGAGAAGAATGGATTGGTGTGACACCGACAGTGACATGGACACTGTACCAATCTGTTGTGATGAACAGAGCTGAGCATGAAAGTAATGCTGTCAATATACTGGTCAATCTACACCAACACCCTCACCTATGGTCACGAGCTTCATGTAGTGACTGAAAGAGTAAAGCTGCAGATGCAAGTGGCTGAAAAGTGCTTCCTGTGGGCTCACTGTTTAAAAAAGAACTCAGTCATTCAAGACAGACTCAGCATCATGGGTGTCGTGTGGCTCAGTCTGATCACTCTTTTCATCTTTCTTCTTCATCTGTGTGTGGATGTGATTATCTACTAACCAATCTCTGGAAACCCAGGAGAGGCACACATATTTCCTATCAGCAATCAATACAATAATTAACCCTGGGTTCCACTACCGCTTGTTAACCCACCCTGACCTACTCGTGCTCTGCTGGCTGAATTGGCACACAGCCTTGGATTTTAAGGTACCTTTATCACTAATGAAGACGTTCATATTTCTCTTAACTTTGCACCCAAAAACTTATAGACACCAGTGCTTGTTTCTCAGCAGAAACACCAGCAGACTTCTTTTCCCTCGTACCTGTGTCTCAGCTGAACACTCCACGTATTTGACTGCCTTCAGCTTACGAGCCACTTCCTCTCCACTCGTGAAGGTCACAGCGTGTTGGTTTCTCTGGGCCAGCTTCTCCAGGGTGTCGCTGTCATCTCTTAAATGCACCTGAGTCCCGACCAACAGGAAGGGCGTCCCCGGGCAGTGGTGTGAAATCTCTGGCACCCACTGTGGAAAAATCAAGGTCAGGTTTGATGGGCTTTTACTGCAACAACTGACCTGTAGCTCTGTGTGTGCGTATATCTCTGAAGTTAGAAACCAAACAAAATTAACTTTGTGACTTTGTCACAAAGTGCGCATGCGCCATTAGCGTGCTGCCTGCTGTAACCCTTATTTCCTTCAAGATTAATAAAGTATTCTGATTCTGAGAATATAAAGCGCCTTGAGGCGACTGTTTTGAAAAAATGTTACATAACTTAATCTGATATTGGATTATTACATATTTTGGCAAATAACTTCCCCGTGTGAGCATGAAAACATAATATTCATTAGACGTTTATCTCTCCCTGAAGTCCGTTTTGAATTAGAGACACTGCAGTTATTTGTTTTAGAAACATCATCATTAGATGTCCCGGTGGTTAAAGACCACTAATTAAACAAAACAATCAAGATAAAACCAGGATCAATGAAACAAACTAGAGATGCCAACATAAAAAACCTCAAATTAAAAGCCGAGGTAAAAAAGTGAGTTTTAAAACGAGATTTAAAAGATAATGTTGATTCTGCAGTATGACTATTAAGTAGCAGTTTCTTCCAGAGTCTTAAAACTGTGACTGCAAACTCCCAATCTGGAGATCCCAATCGAGATCTCGGCTGCACTATGAGAATCTGGCTAGAAGATCTTAGTGCTCTTTTGGGGTTAAATAAGTTGAGCAGGTTGGATAAATAGCTGGGTACGACACCATTTAAAACTTTAAAAGTAAGAAAAATCTTAAAACCAGTAGAAAAATGGACAGGAAGTCTGTGAAAACCTGCTAAAAGTGGAGTGATGTGATCATGCAGCGGCATTTTGGACTAACTGCAAACGATAAAGAGTGTTTCAGACCTAAACACAGAGGATTACAGTGGTCCAAACTAGAGCTGATGAAGGCATGAACACATTTTTCAAGGTATTTTGGAAGAAGATGTGATTTTGTTTTGGTGATTTCACATAACTGATTAACATCTGGTCTTTACAACTGCGGTCAGTTGCTTCTCAGATTTAAAAGAAGTATCTAAAAACACTGATTTTTAACAATCAGAGAACAATGAGAAGCAAATAATGAAACAACAACGTTGCTGACAGGTGAGGGTTTTTTGTTTTCTTCTCCTCAGTTTCATCTGTGATTACAATAGTATGGCATTACAGAGTTTATGCAAATAGGAAGATGTGTATAAATATTGTCATTTTATAGATAATTCATTTTTATAGATATGTAGAAAAATATATTTAATTTGATATATTTTTTTATTTTAGTACTAGCCAATGGGAACATGTTGATGGATGTTCTGATAAGGAATTTTTTAAACGTTATTTTTGAGTAGAACAAGAAGACTTTGTGTTTGTTTGTCCGTGTTTTTTTTTTTTTTTTTTTTTT